ATATACACTGAGTGGCCACATTATTATGACCACCCCATCAGTACTTCGTTGGGCCACGAGATGACTCCACGAGATGACTTTGTTGGGCCGCCTCGTGACTCCACGAGATGTTGAAAGGTGATGCGAGGAATCTGAGGTGAGCTGTTGTCCTCACCTCTATCTTCTTTTCACAGATGTTTGAAATCTTCAGCATCATTCGGGAGCTAGGTGCAATAGCACAGGTCCATGCCGAAAATGGGGACATCATTCAAGAGGTACTGTCATCCTCCCCCTCTATCAAGTGAAGCAATGTTTGCTGTTAAAGCCAATCTATACCCAAAACAGTCTATCTATATGGCAAAACAGGCACCTTGCTGCTGTGGGAAGCCGGCTTTGCATACCCATGCTTCAAGGATCACGTCTTTCAGACCTTGCCTGGTCCAAATATATTCAGCAAAATTCCAGTAACATAAAACCGCCTCATTCCTTGTTTGTCTTGATTGACCAAAAGATGTATTTTGAAAATGTACAGGCATGCAAATATTAAGCACACATCAAAGAAGAATCCTTGATGCTTTTTGCACAAAGTGCGAGGATCATAATGATAATATACTCCTAGCTACAATATGCCTTACAATCAATTAGGACAAACAAGAAATGAAACAGGTTCATTTTACTGAATTTCATATAATGCAGCTTGCCAGTCCTGAGATGTGCTGACTGAATTAGTTGTCTTGTTTCATGATACTTCACCTGGTGATACTGCTAGTAAGACATTTCTTGCACTACTCGGGTGACAACACTTATAAGCAGCATTGATTTTTAGGGCATACACCTTCCCCTCTACTCTTCTCCATCACATAGAGGGGAGGTGTTTTGGAGTTCACAGAAGATAGCTTGGAAAGCTGATAACATGTTTGAGATTTCTGCTAAGTGTACTGGAAGCTAGTAGGACGCAGGATCTACAGGCATTTTTCTGTACAGATGCTCCTCAGGTTACAATCGTTCGGTTTATGATTTTTAAACTTTATGATCGTATACAATAGCAGCGTATATATACTGTATACAAATGCTTCTTGGGTTGTGTATATCATAGCTTAGCCTACCTTAAACTTGGCTAAAACACTTACATAAACCTACAGATGGACAAAAGCCTACTGTATTTGATAACAAAGTGTTGAATATCTCATGTCTATACAACTCCTCGGTTTATGATATGATCGCTTTGCGATGGGTTTATCGGAACATAACCCCATTGTACAACGAGGAGTGTCTGTACCGGCAGAAAATGGCCTGACAAAAAACAAATGTGGCCACACATCTAAAGCTGGCCATCTACAATGGCCCTGTGGGGCTGAAGGAGAAAGAACTCTTGATTCCCTCATCCATGCTAACAGTGTGGTTGGCGGAATCTCTACCTTGCTGGACTATGGTATACTAACAGCAGTGGGCGTGCCACTGTCAGAATGCTCAATGATTGGCTGCGGTCACTATACGGCCAAAGATTTTCGGTCCGGCTCCTTCAACAAAAGCCATTAAAAAAAGCGACTTTTGCCGAATGGGAGGTCCAGATAGGATCACACACTGGTCAAATCTCAGCAGGATTTGGCCAAAATTAGACCAATGTATGGCCAGCATAAGGACTGGTAAGCTGCCATGTATTATATTTTTGGTCTTGGGTTTAGATATACTTTCATACACAGGCTTATAAAATGTTCTCATTTAATACTCACAAGTTTATTTGTAATAACAGTAGTTCAGTAATAATTCCTCCTTTGTAGCATAATGGATAAACAGTGGCAATCACAGTGCTGAACTCTTTCTCTCCCAAGCCATTTAGTTGTGTTCCATAATTTATGTTGTACAGGAACAGAAGCGTCTGCTAGAACTTGGCATCACCGGACCTGAAGGCCACGTGCTCAGCCGTCCAGAGGAGGTAATGAGCTGCTTTCATTTATTCACACGTGAGGTGTCTCTGCCTAATGGCTCCAGCTGCTGTATGTAATGTGATTTCTATTCCACCAGGTTGAAGCAGAGGCGGCTTACCGTGCCATAACTATCGCCAAACAAGCCAACTGCCCCCTGTACATCACTAAAGTCATGGGCAAGGGGGCCGCCGATGTGATCGCTCAAGCAAAGAGGAAAGGTAAAAAAAAAATAGGCTTGTCAGTTCTCCGCTGGGGCCATTTTTAAAGAATTTTAATGGGAACATTTTCTCTGCTCATTCTTGCAGCAAATCTCATTTTGTGCAAGCTGAAAAGCCAATTGTCATTCATTATAAAGAATCAGACCTGCACTTCATTCTCCTGACCTATGGAGAACCTGGACCATTAATAACTGTACTGAGGCACTGATGTATGAACACATTTCTCATTGCTCATAGCAACCAATCAGAATCACTGATTTATTTCTGAACCTGGGCTGTAAGATTAGTTGGAGGCTGTTTACTCTTTTCACACTTTTCATATGTCAGCCCTCTTATATCCTTCAAGTGAAAGCTCACTAAAGAAAGGAAAAAATATGAAGGACTCCCATTGCTGACCTGCTTCTAAACAAGCTTGTCCATCTTTAACTTTAATATCTTAAGCCACTGACCTGGAACATGCCTACAGCCATTGAAGTCAGAACAAAGACTGATTGGCATACTTGTTCTGGATTAGTCTTGTCACCCTATAACAGGAAGTGCCTGAACAAGGACCGTCATGGCCAACCAGGGATTATGTTAATAAAAGCTACAGATTGAATAATATAGAAAAATTACTTTTAAAAAAACATTAAAACTGTTACATTAAAAATGTAAACCTTTATATATGACTTTAATTATTACGTTCACATATACTGTAACAAATATTGCAATTTCAGACAAAGTGCACTTAACCTTTAAAGACGGTGCAGTTCAGCGGCACAGAAAGACCAGCCCACTATAGTTTAAATAAGTTGCCAGCAACCTTTTCCAAAGCAAGTATCAATTTAAAAGTATTAGGTCTGCTATATATAGTATATTTTCAAATGTTCCACTCTTAGTTGTACTGCTTACGCCAAATTAAACTCATGACTTATTATTATATAAACTGGTGCACCCTAACAGTCACTTTAATAATAATTGCAAACCATTTATAGGCAATGCAGACCATTTACAGACTATGTAGACCATTTATAAAATATGCAGACCATTTACAGGCAATGCAGACCATTTACAGGCTGTGCAGACTATTTATAGGCAATGCAGACCATTTACAGACTATGCAGAGCATTTATAGGCGATGCAGACCATTTACAGACTATGCAGAGCATTTACAGGCTCTGCAGACCATTTATAGGCAAGGCAGACCATTTACAGGCTATGCAGGCAAGTTATAGACAATGCAGACTATTTGCAGGCTATGCAGACCATTTATAGGCCATTTAGGTGGAAAGCATGGATTGTGGGTACAACCTGGAGCACAGCATATGTTTGCACATATATGTGAATTCAAATGCAGAGATGAATGCAAAAGCCACCTCAAATATAAGAATTTGTCTGATAAACACTCCAAACTGGCCACAATAGACGTTGCTTGGTCGGTGTTTTCAAGTGTTTTGCAGAGCTTTGTGAATTTACATGTCCACTGTGAAGATGTTTTGAGCCTATTTAATATTTGTTTCACATAATTACTATAATAGACTTTGATGACACTACACTAGATAATATTAAACAAACATGACTATAGTTATGTTTTATTGAGAAATCTCAAGTCATTTTGTAGACTTGTGACTATTGATCTTCCAGGTGCTACTAAATATTGGCTTTGCATGCCTCAGGTTGATGACCCCTGGTTTTAACCATTTGCCCTATTCTTATTGTAGTTCTACCAGATAGTCCCTGACCTATGGCTGCCTACAGTGCTCCTACTGTCCCCTTCACAGTTGCTTACTACTGCTTCTAATGAACACAGCTTAAATACTCTACTATCATGTATGGATGTATGTATGTATGTATGGACCCACCAGTGAAGTTGTAGGTGGGTTCCAAGAGCTACCACCCTTCTTCATTCAAGTACAAAAATGACAACTTACTCCTCAACTGTATTTGATGAAGTAAATGTAGGTGTTGCTAAGGAGAACAAGTAGGACATAAAACAAACTGGGGTGATTTGGGTAAAGAAAATGGTGAAGGTGGCGGGTAAGGCAGAAGCCTCAAAGAGGCATCTTATGTGCAGAGACCCCAGCCCATGCACTGCTGGAAATATTCATCTTAGAGATGCCCTCTGTTAGTCACTCCCCCCTAAACTGATATTGGGGAGTTGACCTGACAGTTCCTTATATCTCTCAGGCACTCTGTTGGTGAGATCACTGCACTTATGTTTCTTATTGGGCTTGGCGTAGATGGGAATAAAGTCAGGGAGATCTCACTGTTGGGGTAATTGCACCAATGCTGGGCACATTATTTTAATATTATCCGAGTTGTTCTAAAGTACGTAAAGTTGAGAAAGGGCCAATGATCTCTGACTTATAAGGAGGTGCCCATACACAGAGGTGAATAGGATCAGGCTCAGAGCTGTGAATGTAAAAAATGGGTTGCAAGGGCCACTTTCAGTGGCTTTGCACTAAAAAAATGACTCAAAGCCGAGCTCCAAGCAAACAGCTAAATACACAGATAAAATACAAATGGGAGCTGTTTTACCTGCTAAAGAACTCGCATTTCTGTCTATACAGGTCTGAGGTCTTTGCACAGCCTTAGCACACAGTACAGCCCTGTATGACAGTACAGTAGACCTGATTGTTCTCTGCTGAACTTATATAATACGTACAGGTCATGTCCCTCGCCCAGCTTGTTACTGGACAGTGAAAATAGGAACAGCAGACTAATGAGCTCATCTCTATGTCATTCTGCTCTCTTCTCCAATCAGCATATAATATGTTAGTACACGAGCACTGCAGCACAACTGACTGGCTGCTTATGCTACTCCCTCTCCTAGTCTGAACTCTATTCAGGTACCTGCACTGCTTGGATTTAAAAATACATTAAATTATGTATTGATGAATACGGATATGCATTGATGAATGTCTTTTATATCTTCCTGGAGTTCAGCTTTAAATGTGTCCACTGAAAATGGTGAATTGTTATAAATAATTATTATTATAATAGTTGTTGTTGTTAATATCACTGCCCTGTATGAATTGCTGGTATTAAAGTGTCAGCCTTGTCCTTGTCAGGTACGGTGGTGTACGGTGAGGCACTGGCAGCTGGACTGGGTACCAATGGCACTCACTACTGGAGTAAGAACTGGGCAAAGGCTGCAGCTTTTGTTACCTCACCACCCGTGAGCACGGACCGGTCTACCCCAGAATATCTATGTTCATTATTGTCCTGGTATGTATAGAGCACTACAGATCTAGTAAATAATGTGTGCACATATGCTGCTGAATTAATTCATACATGAACACTATACATAGACCTGTAAGGCTAGCATTTTGCAGTTGAAGTACAGAAAAATACCCGTTGATCCTGTGAGTTCCTAACTTACCGAACATCTGCCCCTTATGTAATAGAGATGAGGAAAGGAAGAAAGGAAAAGTAGTCCAGCTGTAGTCCAGCCTGGAAGAAAACTGCAGGTACTGTGTTGTCGGCACACTACGGTAAAATTGGAGCTCATTAGATTTGCAGCAGATCAGCGGTTATTTTTCTATACTTGTGCAGTATTTTTAACAAAAAGGGACAAGACATGGGGACATGTGCATGTATTGGAGAGCTGTAGTGCACATTTTTTTGCCCACACATACCATCCAAAAAAAGACACTTCCGGATTTAAAGTCATTCAATGTAATCCTCATGGACTAATTCATAAATAATCTTCTAGTAGGTTATAGATATAAGTGATTCTGCGCTGGACCTAGAAAAATGTATAAGTGCTAGTGTGCCAATTTAGTTTGAAGGCTGCAGCAAAATCGACCGTTGGGTCAAAATAGATAACTTTCAAATTATGCAGCGCCCCCAACATAAAATGTGTTGAATGTCATAAATCCTAAATGTTAATTATTTTTAATACATCCTCCTTGTAGCCCTTTTCTTTGAAGTTTTCTGTTAGCACCCTGGATTGTTTCATATAAGCTGTATCCTTAGTGCAGTTCCTTCTAATCCTGGTATATTGCCCTTTAGGGATTCCTTTAATCCAGGTGGCGTGGTGACAGCTAGATGTCGGAATGTATCCATTCCGGTCCTTAGGTTTAAAGAATGTGCACATTTCCAATTTCTTTCCATTTATATTAATATTCAGGTCTAGAAACTGTATATTTCGATCACTGATATTGCTGGTAAAAGTCAGGTTGTATCTATTCAAATTTAGCTCCTCAATGAACAACTGTAGAGAGTGGCTGCCCCCCTCCCATATTAGTAAGATGTCATCAATAAATCTTCTCCAGAGTTTGATGTTTTGATTTATTTTGCTAAAAATGGTTTCTTCCTCCCATTTCGCCATATAGAGATTTGCTAAACTGGGTGCAAATTTTGCCCCCATGGCAACTCCTTTCTTCTGGAGATAGTATTGATTCTTATACCAGAAAAAATTCCTTATCATAGCAAAATGTAGGCCTTCCAGAATGAATTCCTGTTGTTCCGTTTTGTATTCTCCATAACTTTCCATAGCCCATTTTGCAGCTTCTATACCTCCTTTGTGTGGGATTATTGTGTACAACGAATTCACATCGATAGTTGCCAATATAGTATTTGGCTCTACTGTTAGCTCCTCGAGGATATTTAAAATATCATTAGTGTCTTTCATGTTTAAGAGAGAATTGGAGAAAATGATAAATGGGGCTTATAAGAAGACACTTCTAACTAAAAAAGAGAAGGAATATCTCATTCCCTCAGTAAGTCGAACCCCTATCATCTACTTTCTGCCCAAAATTCATAAGGACACTAAGAATCCTCCAGGACGCCCTATAATCAGTGGTATAGACTCCCTGAAGGCGAGATTGGGAGAATTTATAGATTTTCACCTACAACCGCTGGTACGACAAACGAAAGCCTTTCTAAAAGACACTAATGATATTTTAAATATCCTAGAGGAGCTAACAGTAGAGCCAAATACTATATTGGCAACTATCGATGTGAATTCGTTGTAACACTAAACATGTAACCTACCTATTAAAATGTCCTTGTGGACTGCAATACGTAGGTCGAACGACGAGACCACTTAAAAAAAGGTTAGAGGAGCATATAAATAATATTAAGAAGGGATTCAACAAACACACGTCACTTCAGAATTTTTCATAATAAAAATCCAAAACTCCTTGAAGCGGTAGGAATAGATCGAGTGGAAAGGCACTGGAGGGGTACAAATCTAACCCGCAAAATTTCCCAAAATGAATCCAAATGGATTTATGTGTTAGATACCATGATGCCCAAAGGACTCAATATTGAGTTCGATCTGAATTGTTTCTTAAGTAATAGATATTCTTTGATTTTGACACATCACATCAACTAACAATTTATGGTGGTTGTCACTAATTATTTCACATACCCTGTGGGATCAATGATCCAGGGCCATTGATGACTTTTTCTTATAAAAAAAGATTTTGAAGGCACTGAACATTCATGTGTATGTTATATGAATATAATTTATTTATCTGAATCACTTATATATATTATATTTATTTATTAGAATTATTTTATATTTATATTTAATTACATTTAGGATTTATGACATTCAACACATTTTATGTTGGGGGCGCTGCATAATTTGAAAGTCTTCTAGTAGGTTAGCCTGAGCAACCAATCACATCCTTCCTTCAATTCAATGTTGTACTTTTGCTCATTCAGCGATTAAGGCTCTATGTGTATTTTGGAAGAGTCACGATTCAGTCCATGGTGCCATGCTGTTCACTTGGCACATTCATTGGTTGTTCAGTTACAACCAATGAATGTGCCATCTCAGCCTTTATTGGGATTGCAGTTGCCATGGTGCTGCACATGTGATCAGCTTTGACACCACCCATTTGAGGGCTTGAAAGTTCAGTTGAGAGCTAAAATAAGCACAATAGCAACTTTGGCAGCTGCCTTAAAAGTATTTTGGGAGACAATACAGTGGTGGGTTAAGTTCCTTTTTAATAGTGCTGAATGTGAAGCTTCTTTTGATCAGTAGGCAAGATTTCATTAGTCTATTAGGTGGGCTAAGTCTACTATACCCATTAGGATGAGATCGCCAAGTACAGCCAGACCCACTGAACTGATATTGAATTTTGAAATTCTTCAGGTAAGGTACCATAGGGTGCCCCAAGGTACCAGCATTCATTGGTAGCAAGGCCCAAGGAGTCCCAAGGGATCTGGGAGGAATATTTGAAAAAACATTTTTGAAAGTACTGTTAAATGTGTTTGTTCATAGTTATCAGTAGCACCCTTCCAAAATACACTACCACTACCATAGATTTGGAAAAATAAGCACAGGTGCCAACCAACCTGCTTTATCTGCCTCTATTACAGCCTAACATTTTCTTAGAAATCGACAGGGGAACAATAATAATACGTATGTATACCATGTATGAGCTACCCATGTTTATGCACTGCCTAGTAAAGTATATTTTTATGGTTCATTGAAGAAACACCAATATTTTTTTGAGTGATAGAGATGTGAATGTGGTGAAAACCTTTGCAAATGATTTGTTTAGAACTTTATTAATGGTGTCTATTCGGTAGATAGAACGGCTGGTGTGAGCAGATAGATGGCCCCAGTGCACGGATATCATATAGCTCACATACAGCTATAAGAGCCAATCAGTCAGAAACAAAAGGTTGAGTCGTAGTGTTGAATGACACTGGAGAATATTTCCTACATAGCGTGATGGGAGAAAGTTACTGAAATAAAAGACGTTTTATCTTTCAGGTCTGGAAGGCACTAATGGCTTTTAATGGCGGCGATGGGTGGCTGTGTGGGAATTTATTCAAGACAGTAAATATTGATTGTTGGCTGACAGACTAATGACGGTTCTTCTCCCCAGTTTTGACCTCCAGGTAACGGGCAGTGCGCACTGTGCCTTCACCACAGCACAGAAAGCCGTAGGAAAGGACAATTTCACCTTAATACCAGAAGGCACCAATGGTGTGGAAGAAAGAATGTCAATCATATGGGAAAAATGCGTGGTAAGCAGAATAAGAATTTTCTATTACAACAAAGCTGATAAATGGGACAAAATATAGTGATAATGTAAAAAAAAACCTGCTAAGAAATACACCGCTGAAATAGACATTATCACTATAACAAAAAAACGACTTTTGCTCTGAAAGTATCTGTAAAAAATAAATGAAGGCAACTGGACTTGCTGTATTTTTTTGGAAGATGTTTCGCTCGTCATCCAACTAGCATTCTCAATTCAGAATTAGGAAAGCTAGTTGGATGACCAGCGAAACGTCTTCAAGGCAAATACAGCAAGTCCAGTTGCCTTGATTTATTTTTTACAGATATACCATGACCTGGATGAATGAAAACCTTCACAGTTTTCTTTGAAAGATTATTTCTTGCTATAGTGCTCTTAAAGCTTTCTACACACATCTATGTCAGTTGTCAGTTTTTTTCAGGTGTCCCCCATTGGGAAGATTTTTTCTCGCTTCCTGTTTCTCTGACACCTGTACAAGAAATGGGGGGTGTGGTTCTCACCAGGACAGGAAGGCACATACATTAGTAAAACAGAGGTTCTAACCCTCTCTGGCTAACATATGTTTTTATTTTGTCAGAGATTTCCCATCCCTTCCCATCCTTTTATTTCAGATACAGTGTAAAAAGTTTAGAGCCGCTGTCGGGTTTATATTGCTGTCCATTTCCCCATGGGAAAGATTTCCAGAAATCTTCCCCATACGGAATTAGACAGCAATAAAATCTTGACAGAGGCTCTACACCTTCCACACTGTTTCAGAAATAATTTGTTGGCCTGTTAAACAACATATGGGTTTTTAACTGGTCTTACTTAAAGCTTAACTCAAGGCAAACCGCTAAATTCTGCACATCCAGTTCGGAGACTTACACAGCTCCGCCACACAGCATTGCTCTATCTGTTAGCAGAGGAGACCTGATTTCCTCTGCTGCAGTTCGGTAACTCTTACAGGTCTTGTCCCTCCCCCAGGCTGTGATTGGATATTGAAAGGAGAAGCCGTGGACTGATGAGCTTATCACTAATCATTCTGCTCCCCACTCCTATCATCAGCATGACCTTTGTTAGGAAATGAACACTGCAATACACCTGACCGACTGCTTGTTCTGCTTTCATTCTGAGCTCTGCTGTACAGGGAACTGCACGAGGCTGTTGCCAATCTGAATGCAGATACTAACACTGCTTACAGTTAAGAAAATACATTTAATGGTATATTATAGAATACAGAGCTGCATTCATCTGCGTCTGTTATCTGTCTGAAGTTCAGTTTTAACTGTTAAGATGGATGATGCAGATGAAATGATATGAGACCTCAAAGAGAATGTAGAGCGTGTCAAAAACATATTGATAAATCATTGATTGTAGATTACCCCTTGCCGTCCGGCCATCGTAAAAATACAGGCGGACGGCGGATGCTTCCCGGTGGGTGGACGTGCATTTACGTGATTTTTTTTTCTGCTCGTTCACGCCCCCTAGCGGGCATGCGCGAGCAGAATACCACCGTGAATGTGAACAGCCGTTACTGGCTGTTACATACAAGCGTTCTGCCAGCTCTATAGCCAGCTGATCGCTTGTATGAGGGTACACAGTGTTGGCCCCCTTCTGCTGCCGCGCCACCCTCTTTGCTGCCGCTGTCAGTTATCCCAGGCACCCCTGCCCCCCCTGCGGTGCCCGAGATCGAGAACACCAACACAACGGCTCTCTGTACTGAGAAGGAGGATAGATTAGCATTGCCCACCGCTGATCTCTCCTTCTCTCTCTAAAAGCAGAAGCCATGTCTATTACATCACTTCCGCCTTTAGCTGTCATTTCTCTGGCTGCTATAGCCAGAGAAGAAGCTGGTGAATCAGGTCTCTGGTTCATCAGCTTCTTTGGGGGTGACATTAGGGGTCTTAGAGACCCCTAATGTCTCCATAAAGAGGCCCTGTCATTTGTTTTTGGGCTATCACATACAGGGCTTTTTAGAATACTGAAAAATGACCCAGACAGGAAGTGGTTTAACACCACGGTCAGCAAGTGGTTACTATAGATTTACATTTTCTTTGGACAATTTTTTGATTTGGTAGATTTTACTGATAGTTTCCCTCAATGAAAACAACCGTCTATTGATCGGAGATCATTCTCAAACAATTGTATCATTATGTCCATGGCCAGTGTAAGGACTTCACAATGGACGCATTATTATGCAATGTGCTTATTGTTCCAGTACAGCCACATGCATGGACAAGACAAAACCCATTGTTTTCATTGGGATCTGTTCCCTCCACTGCATTGCAGTGCATTGAATGAATTCTGCCATTTGGTGCCTTGACCTACATTTTCCCAAGTCAAGCCAAGTAATTTACTTTTACTAATTAGAAATTAAATCTTTCCAAAACCTGTTGTATCTACAATATGAATGAATTTGTTTTGGGGTAACTTTAGCCCAGGGGAATAGTAACATGCTACACTTTTTCAGTTAGGGATTATTTCCGTTCTTTCCTTCATTGTTTTTCTTCTTGCTTCAGACCCCTGGGAGGATGGACGAGAATGAGTTTGTAGCCGTGACCAGTACAAACGCAGCCAAAATCTTCAACTTGTATCCACGGAAGGGAAGAATCGCCACGGGCTCAGACGCCGACCTAGTTATCTGGAATCCGAAAACGTTAAAAATAATTTCTGCCAAGACACATAATTCGGTAAATAAGTGCTTCGCTTCTTTTCTTTAGTCATTTTTATTTAGGTTTATTAATATGACAAAGAAGTATGTTTAGTAGCCTATCGTGACCAATGGCAGTGGCTTCAATCAATGTCAATGATCTTTAGTTTTAATACACCTGGAAAAACAATCTCAGGCCCTGACAAGGAGCACAATTGACAAGATTGGGATCCAGAGCTATGGACACAAAAAGAAATGAGTTTAATTTGCATAGTTTTTTTGCATCTTTTAATATTGCAACCATATTTTAATATTATTATTATTATCATCATTATTATAATCACAGGAAAATACACAAAAAGGATAAAGCGCACTCCTGTGGGCACAATACAATACAATTAGGTGGCTATTGTGTAAGGGTGTGCAGAAGCTCCTCAATACAGGGAGAGGACCCTGTCTATTCAAATGTACACTCTTGCGACCCTGGACCTGTTTAAGGAGGGCGCCACACAGCCCACGGGGGAGCCTCGAATCGTAAGTCCCTTTGTCTACTACAAACAGTGTCATATATACGTAGTTTTCATACACAAAGATCCATTAACAATCTTTACTATACGAACCTATCTACGTCATTTTTGGTAGTTGCGCTCCTGTCCTGTTTTGTCCATATCTGACATCATTATTATAATGCAGGTTTTATATAGCGCCAGCAGTTTGCGCAGCGCTTTGCAAAATAAAGGGAGACAGTACAGTTACAATACAAATTCAATACAGGAGGACCCTGCTCCTGAGAGCTTACAATTTAGTAGGTACATATAGTTAAAATTGACCTGTCATTGTGCCCATTTAGGTCAAAGTAAAGCTGGCCATTCACCTATAAATTATCTGCAGATTTTCTATGGTCTAAACTGTGTAGATGGAGGAATCTCCCACTGGGCCAAGCTTCAGTATCTTGCTAGTCGGCCTTGCTGGCTCTCAAAATACCTGAACAGTCTGATTGGATGCAGTCATTGTTCAGATATTTTGAGAGCCAGTGGGGCCGACTAGGAAGATACTGAAGCTTGGCCCAGTGGGAGATTCCTCCATCCACCTAGTTTAGCCTAGATGGAGGAATCTATTGCACTTTTTCCATCTGACCATAAAAAATCTGCAGATAATCTATAGGTGTATGGCCAGCTTAAGGGGTTTTCTTTATAGTCCACCTCCTCTGTTACTAATACTTTCCTTCCCAGCATTCCCCTGTAGCCCGTTCTCCTGAAGCTGTCCAGAGTAGAAAGCCCTCCTCAAGCTCAATGCTGGCTTGTGTCATAGATTGCACAAGGCTAAGGACTTTCCCAGCCCTCATATGGCCGGTGCTTGGCAATTGGAGGCTTAGGTGCCATACACTGTGTTGTCAGTGGAAGGAGAGAAGGCCACATGCTTTTTTGTGCCCCTAAAATACTGGGTATCTTCAAGGGCTCCGCCGAATAAATGAGAGGGGCAGAGTAGCACGGGGAAGGTGAATATTAAAATTGTAGAGGAGGTGGACTATAAGGAACAATTATAACTTGACCCTTTACTTAGCAATACATTTATTACTATGTGGTAGATAACACTTTTGCACTATTTGAAAAAAGATATCTGGCAATAGTTAGTAGGGATAAGGTCAAGTTACCGAAAGTGGTCCGAACCTGAGCCCCTCCGAAACATGGAAGAAGTTTCCTCAGACCCACAAGGAAACTCCTTTCGCTGCCTTCCAATCAGTGGGATTCAGTGACGTCATTGATGGTATATGGCTATGTGGCTGTATTAGGTAAATTACGTTTACCTAATATGACCATATAAGGTAAATTATGTCAGAACCGCATCCCATCCCTTTGTTTATGGTCAGCTGTAGGGTGACAAATGCTCCGACCTGCAGATGATCGGGAAGGAGGCCCATGTAGTTTCCATGTTCAGACGTTCGAACCTGAGCTCATCCCCAGTAGTTAGTCACATTCAACTAGAATTATTCTGCAATGTTGAAGACGTTTCACAGCTTCTCCAGTCATCTATTTCCATTCTAGTGAGCTAAAAAACATACCCCAGCAATTATAACCACACAGGAAACTCGGTCAACTTAATCCAGTCACCATGGAATGTGTGTAGGCACACGAGTAGTATGGGGTATATTATTTCTGACACTCATTAGAATTGAAGAAGACATTTGGTTAAGCTGCAATCAACATTACAGTCAAGCTAAATTTGACTAACTACTACTAGCTATACCATGACCTGGATAAATGAGAACATATGAAAATAATGTTATAAACCTAAAACCCCCTTCAAAGAAACCCTTTCACTGTGTATAATAACTGTTATCCAGGTAATGGCAGTGTTAACTCCAATGAATTATGTTATTCTCTATATTAACTGCCAGCGTTGTATAATTTAAAGGTGTCTTTTTGTACAATTTAAGCAGAATAACATATAACAGAAAATTGCAGGGAAACAGGATCCCAGGCAGTGATTCATTGTTCTCATTGAGCAGTAGTCAGGTAAACAGTAAATCATATTTTGGTTTGCGGTGGCTCAGAGCAATGGCAAAAGCACTTTGGAGGCTTAGAAAAATGAATGCCTGGAGCAGAGGGATTATAGGATCAGTTCATACTTGTGGCTCTTAACTGGTGGGTCGCAACCCCATGTTCAGCGGGTCGCTGCGTGCCTTCCACTGCACTAGGTGAAAGGCTCCTCAGCCTCCCTGTAGCACAGCACTGTCAGTTCTCACACCGAGCAGCCATTCAACATATGCTGCCCTGTGGGGGTGGGGGTATGGCCTCGAGGGAGCTTCATCCATACGTGCATTGCTTACAGCTACCCTGTGTGCCCTCAGGGCCGGCCTTAGGGGTGTGCGAGCAGTGTTTTTGGGCATGGTAATTTTTTGCGATTTCGCGGGTGCGCACAATTTTAAAGCATGACATGTTTGGTGTCTATTTACCCGACGTGACCCTGCTTTTTATATTTTACCAAAAATATGGGTAATAAATGGGTGTGGTTACTGGGGGTGTGGCCACTAAAGGGTGTGGTCACTGAGGGGTGTGGTCACTGAGGGGCACTGTAAAGCTTTCTCGCACAGGGCGCCTAAAGGCCTAAGGCCGGCCCTGTGTGCCCTGTAGAGGTGCCTGGACCTGAATGATGTCACATTCTGGCTCCCATCACCTGTATAGTTGACTACTTTTGTTCCTCATGGTCCCTGTGTGTTTTGTAAAGTAGCCACCGCTCCAAGCTCACTGCGCTTATGGACTACAATCTCAATACAAATGAGTAAACTAAACATAAGATTGTAGTCTATCACGGGAGCGAGCTTGGAGCGGTGGCTACTTTAGAATACACAAAGGTACCATGGGGAACAAAAGTAGCCACCCTCCAGAAGGAAGGACAGTGTCAGCACCGATTCAGAGATGATTTGAGGATCTACAGCCAAGTGATACACAAATAAGATAAATGTTTGTTAATAGTTAAGGTACTTGAATGCATTTTTAAGATTTAACTCCTGAGTTTAGTGTCACTTTAAATACCAGTTTCTGGTGGACGGACTGCTAAATCCAACATAAAAATAAATATTTGCACTCAAACATTAAGGAGTTATGCATGGTTTTTGTTCCTCTGCCAGGTTGTGGAGATGAACATATTTGAAGGGATGGAATGTCATGGAGCACCAGAAGTTGTCATAAGCCAAGGACGGATTGTTCTGGAAGGTGAAACCCTTCACGTCATTCAAGGGTCAGGCCGCTTCGTTCCAAGGAAGACATTCCCTGATTTTGTATACAAGAGAATTAAAGCCAGGAATAGGGTAAGTACTATTTAATTAAATTTCCATCTCAGTAATTTCCTGAACTTGGTCTTGTTTGCCCCTTCCACATCTCTTCTTTATAGCAGATCATTGGGCAAAGAAGGCTAATGACTTCATGATGTCAGTGTATATGGATTGGTTTTGAGACCTCGGCCCTCCAGCTGCGTTGAAACTACAAATCGCGATATGCACTTATCTCTGGAAGTCATGCCTGTCGACGTTAGAGTCTAGCAATGCTAATGCAATTAATTAGGGGTCTTGTAGTTCCACATTAGTTGGAAGGCTGAAGTTTGGCTACCTCTGATCTAGGCTATCTATTGCTGTGGAAATAAGTAGATCTGAAAGTAGTAACTATGTCTGGCAAATGAAATATATTAGAAAATGCCTTTTTTTTATGTACTTGAAGAATAAAACATTTTAAAAGTGAAGGGCTTCCTTCAGAATTTTTGTTTTGTTTTAAAGTTTAACAATCTCTTAATTATATGAGTGAATGTATCTTTTTTTTTCATGCATTATGTATGGTGTGACAGCGTTAATTATTTCCTACCATCTTTGTAACACATTACTAGATTGCTGAACAGGATAATCAGACTGCATAAATGAGGTCACCCAGTTACAAAGCATGGCTGTCTGTCTATAAGGAGCCTCACACCCTTAAGAAAGCATTCCCTGCATGACAGATTCAATGTGATGGCAACTACAGCCCTGCAGCTCTACTCATCTAGAAAAATCACTCTGGATTAATGTTATCCGGGGAACTGGGAACATTTAAAGGCTTATTTCGCTTTCATATTCCAGCCCTAGTTAACCTCATATAAGGGCAAGACTGAGAGTGAAACGTATGGGGGCCTCTGGGTGTCCTCCGCGCCTGTCATCTTGGAAATCCATTTCTGTCTCTCCCATTTGGGCATTGATTTGTACTGCTCAGGATGCAAAGAGCAGTTATGTGATTGACCCTTAGAAAGCTATCACTTCTCAGGCATTTAGCCATGTTAATGAAATATTTCTGATTGGCCTGTTTGAGTCAGTGCACTTTACACATTGCTTTATTAAAATGAAGGCTATAGTGGTTATGTACTATCATACCTATTCAATAGAGCAGCAATGATGATGTGAATAATGCAGAAGCAGAGAGCAGCCAATCAAATTTAAAGTGTATGTAGACCCTAACAATGAACTTCTCTTATTTGCTCTTTTTTTTGTCCTGGTAAATATACGATTGAATGGGTTTTGTTATATCTGTGCAATAATTGTATCAACACTACCTGTTAATCTAGTGAGCTGATCTAGTGAGCTGATCTAGTGAGCTGATCTAGTGAGCTTCCTGTGCTTTCTGCCTGTTTTGCAATTTTATTAGTTACATTGTTTCCAGTTCTCTGAGTGGACTTAAAAAAGCACATGCCCACTGTATTATGAAAAAGAGGTGGGGGAGGTTTTCTGTAGTCCTGTGTGGTAAGGGGACAGAGCTGTTCCCCCATAGATACAGCACAGTGAGTGTGTGTTGTCAGCCTAGGACAGGAAGCGTGTTACTGGCTGAACCATCAGGTAAAAATAATATGAATGCAACCACCACAATTGCAATGCAAAAATTTATGTTCTTCAGTTTTGGTACACTTTGGGGTGCATTTATGAAAAATGTACAGAGCCATTTGTCCTGCCAAACTTTGTGTACATTTGTTCTGTGCAAATGGGGACAAAAACAAAAGTTATTCTATTTCCGTGTCAGGTCCTAGATGGAGCCCAGGATCATAGGAAATAAACTCTTATCTCATATGATCCTTAGCTCCATCTAGTGGCCATAATGCGGTATTTTTCTGACTCACTCTAATAATATAAATAATTACATTTGAACTGAAAAGAAAATATACGAACAACATTTGTTTTTGCCCAATGAATGCACATGCAGGTTTGCAGGATGCATGGCTGCGTAAATTTGTAAATACACCTCTTTAAAGAAGAACTACAGGTACCAATGTTATCAACCCTGCAGTGCAGAGGTAGCCCTATTTCAAGGGTGCTCATTTTGTCTAGGGGGGCTCAAATAAAGCAGATATACCCACCTGATCCTCGGCCCCGTGCTGGTTAGCACTCACCTCTCTCCCCCTCCATCCCAATTATGTCCCTCTGCGTCCTTACATCTAATGCAAATGAACCAACATAAGACCTGATGATGTTGGAGGTCCTTAGATCACCGGAGCACAGAGGAGAAGAGGCTTTGGGGAGTGGCCTAGCCAGCAGGACCAAGAATCAGGTAAAGGTGGACTTGGACGAATTGGGCGAATATTTTCGTCAAATGATCAAACTGTCGTACGATTTTCGTACAGCAGCCCCATCATGCACCGACCATCGCACAGTTCAGTTAGCGGCCGTTAGCAAAATCACCCAGCCGAATTTCGTTAATTGACGGCACGGATTTTCGTTTGCGCATGAGCAGTGTTAATCGTGTGATTTTTGAAATACGAAAACGACACCAACCTTGCGAATTTCGTAGGATTCGACAGAAGTTTACTAGCCTGCTGGAAAGTCAAAAGTCGTACAATTGTACCGTATTTGCGGTTGTACACTGCCCATCAACCTTGCAAATATCGGATGAAAAGGCGAACGCAAACGGAAATAGGCCGATATTCGTAAGGTATATGGGCAAGTAAATCTGCTTTATTTAAGCCTCCTAGACACAAGTAGCACTTAACCCTTGCAGTATGGGGGTAGCCCCACTGCAAGGGTAAGTTTTTTCTTTACCTGGAGTTCTTTAATTCTCTGCGATGTTTCCCAAGTGACCTTCTCCTATATGATGTGGGCAGGAAGTCCTATGCTACGGCCACCGGGAACATCTCTTCTTTCTCATCCCTTAATACCTTCATTTGATACAATTATATAAAACAAAAGGAAGATAGCCCCTAGTCACTGAATGCTTTCCTTTGTGAAGGCTTCTTATGTATTATAATGTAGCGTATGTTATAATGGTCTTGTAGGCACTTGAGATAAAACCCAGCAAAATAGGATGCGTCAGTTCCCTCTGAAGTATTGGCTTTGATGATTACAAAGGCTCCGGCGGCTCCTCTGGGGGTTACATTACAGCATACGGGGGATAAGTGCTCTATAACCATTGCAGCTAATGTTGGTTACAGTAGTAGGTTATACTGAGATCCCGGGCAGGAGAGAGAATTAGGTCAGTTCATTTGTGCTGTAATCATTACATATTCTAACACGTCCCTATGGGGACTGTAATCCTATAATTGTGTCCTGTGTGCCATCAGCCTACTGCACACATTATTAATCATGTCCAATTGTCTTTATTTTTCAGAAGTTTCAGATACTGTTATGGAATAAATTATATTTTATTTTATATAACACACAGAGCATTTGACAAAGACCAATCAGAAATCAGTTTTTAGCAGCTTTTAGGATAATAAAGTAAATCTAGAGGTAAAACTTTTTGATAGAGTGGAGAGGGGTTCTAACCACTTTCAGGTTTTTATTGCTGCCTTAGAGAGAGATTCACTCTCTCGAATTTTCCTGATCACCAATGTCATGGAAAATGAAAGGGAGGGTAAATCTGAAATTCTGAGTTGCCACTACAATGGGAATAGTGGGGAAATCTAATGGAGACAATTGACACTTATTGTCTAGGAGGAGAGGTCCCTCACATTGAAAAGGTATACTCTCACTTCCTGTTGAGTCTACATGACAGGAAGTGAAGGGAAATCTCCATAATGGGACACAAATTGCAAAGAAAACCAACAGCGAATTTAGCCATCACCTACTCTATGCAAACATTTTTTTTTAAAGTTTTAGCTTCAGGTTTACTTTAAATTGATATCTGATTGGTAGCTATTTGTTACTAAGCCCCGGTGTTCTTCTCTATTATATAGCAGGTCCATATTATCAAGCATATATGAATAGGAAAATAGTAATGTCAAAGTACAATAAAGTGGAATTATGGGCAGAATTAAAAATGAAATATTTAATGCAGCCTGTCGCTGTCTTGCAGCAACTTTGTCCCACTGTGGACAGGGTAGTCATTGAGGGTCATGCAATTTTTTATGGACTTTTAAGTAGGAGAAACACAAATTAATGCTTTTGTAACAGAGGTTTCAAGCTGAACTCTGGGCACAGAAACTTTCATTAAAATATATTCCTCAATAGCTACAAAAGAATATAAATACACTTTGTGCACCAAATGTTTGTAAACCAAGTTATTGAATGGTGAATGTAGCAGTGACATCACCGCTGTGCTGTACATAGCCTGCGCAGAGAGCAGAGCTGTGGGAGGGACCCGGCCAGCTCCACCCACAATAGGTGTCCTGCAGAAAACTACAGGAGTGGGCGGAGACAAGACCAGTCACCCTGCATAAGAAGAGAGAGCAGCGGTGACCGGTCTTTATTATGGGAAACTCCATGTTTCACACAGGATTTCTGCATTGATCTGGAAGAAATACACAAAGCACACCAAGATTTAAGTAAGAGTACAAATGCTTCTTGTATTTAGACAATATTTACCTATCCCGGAGTTCAGCTTTAAACTGTATTAATAAACTGTGACCACTGTAAGCACCAATGGCAGTGTTAGATGGTTTATCCCAAACTGTAACTGTCAATTTTACTGAACAGCTTGGTCTGCATGTTAATGTGGATTAAAACATAAATAAAAACATGAAATAAAAAAGGTATTATATATATATATATATATATATTATATTACAAAAAATGTTTGGAGTTGATGTAAGCCTTGGATGCAGCTGCTCGGCCATGGAAACCCATTCCATGAAGCTCTCTAAGCACTGTTGTTGTGCCAATCTTAAGGCCACACGAAGTTTGGAGGTCTGTAGCTATTGCAGACAGTAGGCGACTTCTGCGCACTGTGCGCTTCAGCATGTGCTGACCCCGCTCTGTCATTTCCCAGTTCCCAGTTGCTTACACTTTGTTATAATACCACTAACACATGACCGTTACATTTTTAGTAGCAAGGAAATTTCATGAAACACCTGAATCCAATGATTTCGATTGGCATCCCAATACTTTTGGCAACATAGTGTGTGTGTGTATATATATATATATATATACATATATATATATATATATATAATGGTTATTGTGGATTACTACACTTGACTCAGCACATTTGATCTTTGCATCTTTGTACTAAATAGGTCTGCATGTGCACCATCTCTGAAACGTATTTTTGTGTCTCCTGATGTAGTTGGCAGAGGTCCGTGGAGTTCCCAGGGGGATATATGATGGACCCGTTCATGATGTCACAGTGGCCACTATGTCTGTAGCACCTACGCCAACCTCCCGGACAGCAGCCTGTTCAGGCAAAGTGCAGATAGTACCAGCCCGAAATCTGCATCAGTCTGGATTCAGTTTGTCAGGTAAATTCATTTCTCCAAGATTGTGTTCACCAGGAGAAATAAAGGTGAAAGAGCTACAGAGGTCAAAGTAATAAATTCATAGATGTTATTAGGGATTTTATAGCAACCGTTTTGTAGCACTAATTTATAGAGACCCTGTCGCCGGAGCATTCAATTCAACAACAATCTTTCTTTAGGGCTCATTCGTATGGGCGTGCATGTATGTGCAACGACCCAATCACGGGAGGGACAGGTGCTGCATGTAATTGGGTGCAGCAGTTTGTACCTCCCTATGGAAGGATGTGGCTGCATGTGGTTACACGCAGACCAGAAACTGCACATCCATGCGGGTTCGAGTGAACGCACTGTAAATGCACACTGTCTGGGTGCCCGCACTTGGACCTACACGAAGACAGTGTGCATCCAAGTGTTGGCACCTGGACCCACATGGATGTGCAGCACAGCAAAAGTGCTAACCACTAAGCCGCTGTGCTTCCCATGATGTCATCAGCCCCACCAGACTCAGTGCTCTCACTCATATGATACTCGATAGCAGGGGAGGGCAATTTCACCACTCTAGCTGTGGCTAAACTATGAATCCCTTCATACCCCTGTCTCTGGAGTCATGTGTGCAGCTGTCAAAGTCTTGCAAAGCTTCATGGAACTGAACAACAGCTGGATTACTGACGTTGCATTCCCTTGGTTCACAGTATTCCATTTTGCTCCTCCCCTAGCTGCTACATAGATTACAGTGTAGGGAGCAGAGAGGCGAAGGAGCTGAGACAGTAATTAGACACTGCCTAAAGAATAGAGGGCTGTGACATGCAAAAAGGAGTGGACTTTGCAAGGCAATTGACTAGTCAAGTTTTGCAGCAAGTGAAGTCACATTGCAAGTAAATACACAATTATTTATGGAAAGAAAAAACGCTGCAAGTAAGCTTTTAAAGTACTTAATTTCTTTGCTTTTGCCTGCAGTTTTTTAAGTTGGGGACAGGGTCTCTTTAAGAAACTGGACATGTTAGGAACAGCAGTGTAACACTAGGGTGCCTGAACTACTTCTCAGAAGGTAGTGTCTCCCCTTAAAATTAATTACCTAGATTTACAGATATAGACTCTTGTGGAGTCAAAGTACTGTTTCTGAAGCATGGAGATCCCAGCCTTCTGTAAAAAGCATTTAGGCTCCTTAGTATCTCAATCTGTATGTTGTCTTAGATCTCTGAACAACCTCAGCTTACACATATAATTTTTGTTATATGATTGCAGCTCATCCTTTCCCAAAAAACACAGCCACTTTCTATCTACACAGTATGTGCCTCCTCACATGTAGACCTTAGTGTGCATAATCCAATAGCAGGAATACCGGAATAATCAAATATCTTCCTATTCTTTTGCAGGATCCCAAAAGGATGACCACATCCCGAGACGCACTACTCAGAAAATTGTAGCACCCCCTGGTGGTCGTTCTAATATTACTTCACTTTCATAGTACAGAGTGCCTTGAGTACATGAGGAATTCACAGAGAGGAAAAGGAGGTCACATGTGTTTGCATGATGATTTTGTGAACAATTAACCTTGAAGCAAAGATCCCCACTGACCCTTATCCACATTTGTGTATGGTGTCTAACAGGGGAGAGGGTTAGTATTATAGAAGGATGTAAGCACTGTTTTGTTTTGGGACTACGTATGGTATAGTCAAACGTTGGCTTTAAAGTGCCCCTTTTCCTGCTCACAATGGAGGCAGCCAAGTTGCTGGCTGAAGAAAACCTTGTGACACTGTACCTCAACCTTTCATTGGGAACCTTGTGACATCAGTGTAGGCCCAGCCTAGGTAAACTGCTGCCTTTAAGATTGCCAGAAATGGTGGTGGCGGCTCTCAGAGTATTTGTGGGCCCATATAAATGTCTGTAGGCCTCATCAGCTCTAGTTGTCTTCTACCATATCAACTGATGTTTTAGTTGACAGTTGTATCTCTACACAAACATTGTTCCATGGAATTTGGCAAATTCATCAATTCATACAATACTTCAGCAGCCAAGGCTATTTCTTAGGCTGGGTTCACACCTAGGCGTATCGAATATGCGCGTTTTTTCAGAGATTTGTGGTTAAAAAAACGCGCGACAAACGCGCGTTTCCGAGGGCTACCTGGCTGTAGCCCAATGGATACACGTGGCAAATATGCCCCAAAGAAGCTCCTGTACTTCTTTGGGCGTACAGCGTTTCTCAGCGCGTTCCTACGGGCTGTAAAACGCCCAGGTGGGAACCATGCCCATAGGCAATCATTGGTTTTCACATGTTGAGCGTTTTACAGAGCGTAGGAACGCGCTGTAAAACACCCAGGTGTGAACCAGGCCTTAGTGTCAATCTGGCTCTTCCATGTGGAGACATGAATCAGGCTTGGTTCATATGGACATTGTGTTGATTTACAAACTGGCCACCTTTACTGTTTTTGACACCACTAAGGCAAATGTTCCTCTTGTGATAAGACAGCCACTTATAATAAAGGCCTCAAATATTAGTTCAGTGTTAGATTACTTCATCTCCTGAGTTTCACTGGCAACTTGTAAAAGTCTAACAGTCACAGGGCTATTCACAAAAGACTTTGGAGAAGGCAGAAACGTGAACAAACTAGGCCAACATAGCTGGACTGGAAAGTGAGCTGAACTGAAGAATGTTTCCAAATTAGATATTTTGGCCTAGATTGTTCACTTATCCTGTCTTCTCCAAACTCCTCACCCTTTTGTTAATAGCTCTATCAGCTGATGTTACAGTATGGCTGCCTTTGATAGGTTCAGCACAGTTTCTTTGCCTTTGCTGTTTTTTACTTGTTCCCTTTGACGTTACTGGAATACAATTTGAGCTGTGCCTACTAAGGTGATCTTCAAATAGTGTCCACCTGACAATAGATCACCTTTATACCTGTGGTAAGACGCAAAACAAATGACAAGCTATGGACCTGGTAGCAATTCTGGGCCAATAAAACTGCACCTTTTGAGTCACTATCCCGAAACTAGTATGTGGTCTCTATATTGAAGAATTGTAGCTTCTTAGATAGGTGCTCGCTTCATGCCAGATTCCCTTTGAGTTGTGCACATTAACACATGACTGCTTTCCCATGAATGCTGGAATTCTTCTGATTTTTATGGAAAAACTGTGACATCATAGAAATATCATTGTAACAGTTCCTACTAAGGGCTGCAATTTCTTGTCAGCCTGGCTTGCAATATGGCTGACTCCATTGTGTCTATCGATGGGTGCACTCTAAAGCAGATGTTTTGAATTATTTCACTTTATGGAAGCCAAAATTGCTGCCAACAAGCAGCAATCCTGTTGTGATGATTGGATTGTTTCTTGCACAAGAAATGTTTGAACACATTCCAAGCAGGACACTTATTTCAGGTAATACGTATGATGGTTGTATCCTGTAACCAAAGCCCAGTTCTGGAAAAAGATAAATATATTCCATACAGATGTCTATATATCGCTCTAGCATAAGTGCTATCTCAAATCAAACATGCATGTGTATAACCCAATGACCAGAAACAACTGTACTGTATTAATTATATATCTATATGCAAGTGCTGTTTTCTTTGGTTAAGTCTGCAAGGTACCTAAGTAACCAGAAATAAGAATTGGGAAGTGTTCCTTAAAAAATAAAAATTGCAAAGTTCTGTAGATGAATATAGTCAGCTACAAGATTGCCAATGATAAAATAAGCAATGGAAATGTTATTGATGAAAGTACAACTGCAATTGGTGCTACCGGTATTATTTATACTTGGAATGTCCTGTTACATAGTATTGTGCTGATTTTAGGCTACCCTGTAACCATTATAAAACAGTTGGCAAATGTTGGCTGACGTATCAAGATGTTTATGTATATCTTGAGATATCAACAGAGACCCCGGGCAAATTGATCCTGAGAGAGGCGGGCTATGAGTCAATATCAACTCTCCCAATCAGAAATGTGTGCAATTTAAAAGCAATTGGGTGATGACCAATATATTCCAAATACCTTATTTTTACAACTGCTGATAACCTAAGGCCTCATTCAGACAGCTAACTGCCGGCCCGCATCAGACCGCTCCCGGGAAAGACAGGTGCTGCGTGTGATCCATCCTGTAGCACTTGTCCTTCCCGGGAGCGGCCGATACTACCGTGCACGCTGCACGGATCTGTACGGGCCGGCAGTTAGCTGTGTCAATGAGGCCTAATGTCTAATTATCGATAGACACACAAGAATTACCTTCAAAAGAGACCCCGCACTTCCAGTAGGAATGAGCGGGTAATGACATATTGACGACATCAGCACTGATGATCTCATTACTCATGACATCATGTCAGTGGCATTCCTTTAAACAATAGGTTAGCATTAGGGTTAAGGTTACCCTTAGGGTTGGCACTAGGGTTAGTGTTTTTGGCACAAGAACAGGTCTAGGATAGTTGCAAGGAGCTTCCCTAACCCTCAGCCCATTGCACTCTTAAAAAAAACCAAAAACCATCTTTATCTTTTATTGTTGACTCCAACTCATTTTGCCCAACGGTTCATATTTTAGCTAACATTTCACTCCCAATTTTGACTCTCCCTAACTGGCTGGGTAAATTATCTCCAGCAGACTACTATACAACATATTTATATGGGCAGCACAGTCACTTATTGGTTAGCCCTCTTGTGTTAAAGAAGAACTCCAGGACTCCTGAATCCGAGGTTTATCTACACCCAAAAATATATGAAAACTTTTTTTAACATTTGGCAACCCTGTAAATTAAGTATGGATGGATTATCAGCGTGTAATAATCTTTACATACAAACATTTACTTATTCTAGAACTGTAAGGATGAGTTGTGATATGGATTATGAGAACTATACTTGGTGCTTTAATATTTTAGCTGAAAATGGGAATCAGGACTTAATATCATGGGTGTATTTTTTTCTCTTTTCTTTTTGCATAGTTGTTAAATATTTGCGAAGAGTCCCCAGTTTGTTTTTCTAATTGTTTAACAGATACAAATATTTAACCTTTTTTCTAAAATAAAAAAGATCATATCTGTATATATCTGTGGGAGTGGAACAAGTGGTGGTGAACAAGGGATACGGAGGCTATATGTAGCCACTAACCCGGTGTAGCGAGAACCATGCTTGAAGAAATCTTGTAAGGCCTGCTGCTGGGAGCCCAGTTCCTATTGATCTATGTAGACCCACAGAACTACATCTCCAAACAATCCTTTTCTTACACATAGTGTGTGGGCAGGCTTTTGGGATGTCCAGGCAGAAGCATTGTTTTGCTGGGAAAATAATCAATGTATGCATGTGGAGAGGGACACAGGAGGGTGGGGATAGGCCTAGTTCTGAAGTCCAGCAGACAGGAGATTAGGCGCTGAGTGTATTTCTGGCAGATCAACAGGTATTTTTCTATTCTTGCAGTATTTTTACAGGGATAAAACATAGGAAATTGTGCATGCATGGCAGAGATATACTGAATACATTATTTATTTTCCCAGACATACACTTTAATTGATTAATGAGGAACTACAAATTGCAGTTGGCTGCTAATATCTGGGTATGCTAGATCTTGCAGGACATCCACAGCTGAGGGGTGAAGGGTCACTATAATCTAGCCAGTATTCTATCTGGCTTTCATGTTGTTCATCAGATTTTGAGCCACCTTTTGATGCTTACCACTGATTTAAACAAATCCTCAATGCCATCCCGAACAGATCATTGTAAATGACCATCGTCATATAGAGTTTATGGTCTAGATTTTTGCTTGTGGCCATACATTTGTAATTTTCCTACAGAGCAGCAGAGTTATAGATAACATTCTGGATTATTTTCTTAGTCTCAGTTAAACTTTACTAGGGCAATGCGTTTCCTTTTTGACCGACCCAACCTATAACATTTAGTTCCAGCTGAGCACATTCCACTGCATATCTAGCACTGTTAGCAGTCAGGTACCGTTCGTCATGGATATTGTTTATATTATTGTCAAACTATGCATGTTTCTATACGATACATTTTGTTTTCTTAATTTGTTATGAATAAAATTTGTTGAACGCTGTCTGCATTCTGACTAGAATATGTGGGTAGGTGAATGGATGTAGCCAAGTTCTTAAGAACTTTTTGGAACCTGTGCAAGCCTAATGACTTCAACTGCCTTTAACTGGCTCATGAATGTTAATAAAGACAAAAATCTTAGTTCGTTATTCACACTGGCAATTATTGCATACCCCCAATGAACCCACTTGAATGTTTATTTAGTCCTCTTTACACTATTGTGTTGGGGTGACCAACAATGAAATTCATGTTCCACTGCACATTACCACAATGCACAGAAACCTGCAAACCATTGTATGGTGCCTTTTATTTGCATGGCACCCCAACGCATTGTTAAAGAACAGGCAACACTGCTATACTGCAGTGCAACACATGCTGTATGTTGTGGTGCACTGCATAAAAAAGGGGGTCATGTCTGATTTTCCATGCGTTAGACAGGGGTTAACAAATAATATGGAATTCAGGAGCCATTCTGTCTAATCCAGGATTTTTTAGGAGCCAGCTCCATTGGCAACAACCAAAGAAAGCCTTAAAATTAGGGCACCAGATGTATTTTTTTAAGGAGCATCGGCTACCTGGCTCCCGGGATTTGCCCAGCCCTGCGTTAATGTGTGCTGCTAATCCATTCCATTAAAATGAGGGCCCATTCACACTGGTGTGTTATGACAAATCGTGTTTTACTGCTTGTCACACTGTAACAGCAAATCATGGTTTGCATGAATGTCACCCCCAACACACTGTTAGAGAAGTGAACAATGCAT